GCGTCGTGGGCGGAAGGGGAGGAGAGGGGGGAGGGAGGGAGCGGGGCGGGCCTGGAAGCACGCGGCTGGCAGCTGGCGGTGGCGGGAGCATTCGAGGGGGCCGACGGAGGTGGGGGTGGGAACCCTAGCGGGGGAGCGGCACTCTTCGTGTCTTTCCAGAGTCCTTCACTTTTTACCATTGCGGAGATCAACGTCAGGACTCTAAGAATGCACACGGTGCGACAATTTCTGATTAAAAGCTGAATTAGTACAAAATAAGCCACACCAAGATTGATTAGGTTCTGATGAAACAAAAGGGGCAAATGTAGAAACAAACTAGTTACATGTGCTAAAAAAATACTACGGTATAGAGTTGTGATTCTAATCACTGACAAAGATAAAAGGGCACATATCATTTCTTTGTCAATTAATGAGCTGCGTGCTGCTTCTCTCCACTGAAGTTCATCTGAAAAAGCACAAACAATTTTCAAGGTCAGACACTGCAATAATAGACTGCACATACATGGGATGTCATTCCCTCCAGTGGTGGAGGGTGAACCAAATATAAGAGGGGGCGATTGTCCACTTAGTTAAGAAAACAGCCTCTCAGTCTTTGCTAACCCATAAAATTAGGTAAGTAATGTGTCGTATATCCTGTGAAAGAGAATTGCACCTTGGTAAGGGGTGGCCAGAACCAGTGGCGTAGCCAGCCCAATAAGTCAGGGTGGTCCATCAATAGAAATATTTACATAAGTTTGATTATTTTTAAAAAAAAATATCTTTATACTACACTATATACAAGCTATGGGGAAATTCCAGGATGGTCCATGGACCACCCTGGCCACCCCCTAGCTACGCCACTGGCCAGAACCCGGGATGGTCCCCAAGAGGCTCCGCTAGTGATTCCCTCGTGTGTATAAAAATGTAAGGAGTTCAACAAAAGACAAATGCAAAGATGATTTAATATACATTTTGCAATGGAACAATAATCAATTTGGACCTAACGTAATTATTACAAATACTAGTTGATTAATTTTTTTTAATGCTTGGAAAGTTCATTGGTCCTTGCCACGTCTTTGAGCTTTAAACAAAGTATCCGTGCCTTTCACCCACCCACCCAACCACGAGTATTTGACAAAAAACTACCACATTTCACGTCATCGTCCCACAGAACTACCACATTTTGAAAAGTGACCGAAACTCCAGGTTAGTACTAATTTTGTGACAAAAAACTACCAAGTTGAGTTGATGACCGTTTTTATGATTTTAAACCTGCTTATGACATGCGGGACCCGTGTGTCAGAGTTGACGTGGCGGGAAAGTTAACTCCGTTTATTTTGACCGTCAAGTTGACTGATGGGGCCCACACGTCAGTGTCAACTTCTTCCTCCTCCTCTCTATGTGGCATTTCAACAAACACTTCATGTGCACACATGGGGATGAGCAGTAGTGCCCACGCACGGCCACCGGCCGCAGCCGCGGCCACATGCGACGAGCAGCAGCAGAGGCCAGTACGGCCACGAGCGCCGCCGCTTGCCCCTGCGGCCCCCGAGTTCGCCCTTGCCGGACCCCGTCGGCCCCGCTCCCCCCGCGCGTCCGTGCGCGCGCACAGCTGCGCCCTGCTCCGGTCCGGCGCACCACACGCCGCCCGTTGTTCGCTGCGGCGCCACCGGCCTCCTCGGGCTCCCAGCAGCTCCCCGCTCCGTCACGGCGCTGGCCGCTCCTCCGCCCGAGCACCCCCGCCTCACGTCGACGTCGTCGTTATCCCTGCGTCGCCTCTGCCTAGCTCCCCCGCGGGTCCGCACCCCCGGCTGCGGCGCGCTCCCCATCGTCGCATGGCTGCTCCTCCCTGCGCTGCCTGCTTCGCATCGCCACGCCCGCGCCCCCCCCGTCGCGCCATCCGCAGCTCCCAGGAGCTCGAGCTCCTCCTCCCGCCCCGAGCAGGATCCCCGCGCACCCGCAATCTGCTCGAGCTCCCCTCACGCCCGCCCCTGGCAACTGCTT